GGTAGTCGTTAATGTCGTTGTGCAGAATCGAGAGAGTCACATCGAATGCCATCCTTGTGAAAAGCAAAAGGAGTCAGTGTGAGCCGGTTGTGTTACGGCACAAACTTGCATAACGCATAATGCATAGTGCATAAGGGAATCGATCAATCAAACTTCGAAATTTGGAAGAAATGACTTATATTCCTTTCTTTTTACAATCATACTGCTGTCGTACCTCTTTACAATCATTCCACCGCCTTTCTTCACCAATGAATTGTTTAGCTCGAGATTAGGATTAAACGTGAGGTGGAATTTGAGACACACATGCTACACGGAAATCGTTCGGGAGTATTCACCACCCAAAGGCACAATACCCTCACTACTTATCCAGATTATGAAGTCATCGAAACACACCAACGAGTGATGTTTCCGAAGACAGCCTATAGTATATCCCTTCTTCAACTCGAGTAGCAAGAATATATAGTTCAGTAGAAGTATAATTTTACCGGAAAAAAATTATAAACCATTTCTTTTCACAAAAGTCTCGAAAGACCATCAGAAAAGAAGTGCATATGTTTGAGACTCATCTTGTGAAGAAAATATGTGAAAAAAAATCGAGTTACAAAAAGCACGTTTTTCGCTTATAAAAGATATTGATTGTATAGAAAAAAATTCGATATAAAAAATGTAGGTATTCGAAATACTTATAAAATGAGACATGGAACATTAAAATCGATCTATTAGTTCAATAGAAAAAAAATTAAAAATACCGAAAAAGGCCTTTTTTTCACTCGCTCTCTGTTCATTAAGATTTAAACGCAAAGCTTTGAAATTCTCGTAAAATGTAGCTCTCGTAATGATGAACAAATCTAGCCTGAAGTCTGAAATGTTCATTATTTTTTGCAAAAAGCCATGTTCACTAAAAACCTGTCTGCGAAAAAACTTAATTTCTTCATTTTTGAGCAGTCGCACAGCAATTTAGGGATGATTCTTCTTCTTCAAGAGTTGCACTATCACGTACACTTAATAACAAAATAATTTTTTGCAGTTAAACTATTATAAAACGATTTTAAAAAGTGGGTATCTTTTTTCATATAAAAAAATGAAATAATTTCATTAATATGCATCATATCAAATAACAGTATGAAGCATTTGAAATCTGACATTTTTCTACGAATTTAAAAAAAAGATTACTCTCCAATTATTAGGAGTCGAGATAACAATTTTTTTTTCAAAAAATTACTGTGGCTCTAATTTTTAAGATTAAGACTTCCGTCTGGCATCAATTTGTTAAGGAAGAATTGAATTTGCTATTTAAAAAATCTCGAATTGTAACCATGAAATTTTTATTTTAAAAAATGTTTCTTGAATTTTTATTTTTTCGATTTATTATTAAAAAAAATCACGTTTGAGTGATGGAACGCCTGATTAACAAATTTAAGTCACATTAGTTACTTAAAATGTTGTAAAAAGTCCAATTGGACAATTAAATGTATGAAATTATCAGTACAAAATTGTTTTTGTGAATTTAATTGCAGATGCAAATATGGCATATGTAAACAAATAATAAGTAATTTATTAGTGTAATTGTTAAAGATATAACACTAACTTTCGCAAATATAAAAGTAAGTTAGTGTTACATGAAAAATATATTTTGCAACTATATTGAACAGTTACACTAACATTTACATTAACAGCAAATTATTTATTATTTGTTTACATATATGTCATATTTGCATCTGCAATTACATTCACAAAAACAATTTTGTACTGATAATTCCGTATATTTAATTGTCATAAAAGTGTCCAATTGGACACTTTTTACATATTAAATAAAGAAACATAGCTATAACATAGTATATATATAATGTGAGTTAAATTTGTTAATCAGACATGCACTCCATACTCAAACGTTTTTTTAGTAATAAACCAAAAAAATTTTTTAGTAATAAACCAAAAAAATAAAAATTCAAGAAACAAAAAACTAAAAATTTCATGATTACAATTACTTTGCAAAACATTTAGTTAAATTATTTGTTTATATCTCATCGAGCCCCAGATAAAAAAAAATCAGTCCCAGATAAAAAAAATCATTTCCACGTAAATTTATTACTGAGAAAATGTAAATTTAGCAGATTTTATGAAATCAAATACGCGCGAATCACAGAGGACCCAACCATCCTCACTTGATTTCGTGCCAGCTTCCCTCACTCCGTCCAGCGCATTGTCTCGTGTTCAACTTTCCAATGGTTTTAAACAAATTTTTTCGGCAGCAAAAATTCGAGAATTTTTCAACAGCAAATTCAGTTCTTCTTTGACAAATTAGTGACAAATCAGAACTCTTAAAACCAGTGATTTTTTTGAAAATTAGAACCAATGATTTTTTGAAAAAAAAATGTCACAATATCTCGGCTCCTAATAATCGGAGAGTAATCTTTTTTTTTAAATTCATAAAAAAATATTATCAAATATCGAATGCTTCACATGGCTATTTAATATAATGCATATTAATGGAATTATTTCCATTTTTTTATACGGAAAAAGATATTTCACTTTTTAAAACCACTTTTTAAAGTCGTTTGATAATAGTTTAACTGCAAAAAATCGTTTTATTATTAAGTAGTGTATGTGATAATGCAACTCTTGAAGAAGAAAAATCACCCCTGTAAATTGCTGTGCGACTGCCCAAAGTTTTCTGCAGGTTTTTAGTAAACAAATGACTTTTTGCAAAAACTAATGAACATTTCAGGCTTGTTTAGGCTCGATTTGTTCGTCATTACAAGGCTACATTTACGAGAATTTCAAAACTTTGCGTTTAAATCTCAATAAACAGAGCGAGTGAAAAAAAGATCTTTTTCGGTGTTTTTTATTTTTTTTCTACTGAACTAATAGATCGATTTTAAGATGAGACGTTCCACGTCTCATTTTGTAGTTATTTCGAATATCTACATTTTTTACTGAATTTTTTTCTATACAATCAATATTTTTCGTTTTATAAGCAGAAAATGTGCTTTTTGCAACTTCGATTTTTTTTCGCATATTTTCTTCACAAGTCTCGATTCTCAAACATATGCATTTCTTTTCTGATGGCCTTTCGAGACTTTTGTGAAAAAAAAATAGTTTATAATTTTTTTCCGATAAATTTGTACTTCTACTGAACTATTCTTGCTATTCGAGTATTAGGAGTTTGTAGGAGGGGTATACTATAATATAACGCGCATAAAAAATCGTAAACAATTAAATATCTCGTAAACTGTTGCGTTTTAACATAATTTATACTATTTTGAATTAATGGGAGGGATACACTATTACTACAATTTATTAAAACTTATATGTTATTTAAAATGTCCCCTTATTAATGCCTAGGACTATTAAGCGATTGAGATGGCACTTTTGATCGCTTAAAACAAACGATTAATATGAGAAGGAGCTTGCTGTCTCGTTCACTCTCGGTCGCAAACGAGCATAGACATAGGCTCGTGCTTGTTATGTGATAGCGTCGCACCACGATAAATGACCGAACTTATAGGTGTGGAAAAGTGATGTTTTGATGAAATTTATGTTGCATGCCATTTCATTATTATTTTCTTAATTATGAAAATGTGATTTGTTTCGTACTTATCGAAGTCATAATTATCGATGAAAACTAAAGTTATATTTATTTTTTATATTATGTATTTTATATTTTATGTAAAAGAGGAGTTTTAGGAATTTTATATTTTATGTAAAAGCATATATTTTACTCGTTTCAACAGCTATCGGATTGTGTTTCTGCCCAAATATAGGCTCACTTTACGTGCCTTTTGACCATTTACTGACTATCAAGAGAGAAGAGGATAGTTTCATCGATTTTTACAACTGTTTTAAAGTAATTTCGTCATTTCATTTCATCCAAATTGTCTTTATTTAAAAATGGCATGTAACATAAATTAACGTGTCATTCCTCACTTCTGCCATCACGATTCCAACATGGCCACCGCGACTAGTCAAGAGCCTTAAAATTGTGATTTCAGTATAATCAAAGTT